GCCTGGGGCTCACATGCCCGCACAAATGGCTGTGTGCCACCTGTGGCACGTGTGTCATAGGTTCACAATCACAGTTCTAGACTAAGCCCCCTTTCACAGCCCCTTCTGACCAGAGCCACAAATCTGAGGCATCATTTGTTGCCACTCTGAGGCAGGGAATGCATCATCACTGCAGAAAATAAATCCACTCATCCTCTATATCCACTAAATATTTTGCCCAAGTCTCAAGCAGAAAACAAAACCCGGCATCGCTATTGTTCTCCTCTATTGTCATCCTACTCACTGCAGCTCTCCTCTTCCCAGAAATGTTAAATATGGCCATCAAAATATTCCTCATTCTTGTTGTAATTAAGGCAGTTGTGTTATTAATGCCAGCTGAGTCTGAGTTACAAGGATTCAGACAGGTGCTCCGTAAAATAGACTACAGAAAAGAACTGGAGCTAGTTGTTATAGTTTTCCCAAAAAGTACCTTTCTCCACAGCAGCTTAGTAAACCACATACTCTCTTTTAGCTTCAGATTCATTCAAAAGCAAGCACAGTTGAGCTGAAAGTAATAGCAGCAGTCATTAACTTAATGTCTTCCTTTCACATTTATTTTAACTATTCTGACATCCAGAAGGCAATTTGGCATGAACTGGTGTTCTCATGCATAAGGACTTGAATTCCAAGTAGCAGACTTAGCAATTATGATTAAATAGCATTTATTCTGCTATTTCTAACCAACTGTATCTGGATGCAGAAGAAGAATAGGATCAAATCCTGGTTAGTCAGGAGACTATGCCACCAGAAAATCTCAAGGTGGTAGACTACACTGGAAAATCTACATCCATCTTACAAAAACTATTCCAGAAAAGAGCTATGACAAAGCAGTTGTCAAGAAAACTCTGCTGTTACCCATTCAATTTTTCCTGTTTGTTAGCCTAGAAAAAGCTCTTCTAGAATAGATTAGAAGTTTACTGATTTAGGCAAGTATAAAGCATGCATCTCAACAATAGGGCTTCCACAAGTCTTCTGTAATGGTTCATTCACAAAAGACATAATATGTTGATTGTAGCATTCCTTCTGAACAATATAAAAAAGCTTGTCTTTAGAGCAAGCTACTTCAAAAACAGAAGGTTTGAGAGTCATTATATTTTGAGATACGTATGTACCGGTATATTTTTGTAAAAATTAGTGCTGTATCTTGATCATTGTACAAAAAAACTTTGTACATTCCAGGATTAAAATACTTTTTTTTTCTGCTTTATCTGTTTCCTACACAACTTTTGGCACTGAATTCAGTTCCTCATTTTTATTCCAACTCTTATTAAATGTATCTCCTTTTAACTATGCAAATGCATGTTTTCTTCTTCCAACATAGCTTCTGTAATTGCATGCACAACTAGGAATTATACATAAAGAGCTTATTATGGAGTGCAATTTGCATAACAGCTTAATATAGGCCCAAATTATCAGGAGTATAGACAGAAACACATGCATCTGCTGTTCCTGAGCAACTCTTCTTCCCTACTCTTATTAATGCCATAAGATTAATTTTGTAGCTGTGCAACTGAAAGCTTCTTCCAATTCCATTTACTATCCTTTCTCTTTACTTCTTGATATATGCGTAGATGTGATGGAACCACAACACAAGAGTTCTATGGTCAAGGGTGAGATGCTTTAGCAATTGAAAAGGTAACAAATGGCCACTGGGAAAAGGTTTTATCTTTCAGTTCTATGAATTTGTAGAACAGAGGTCCCCAAACTTGGCAACTGTAAGATTTGTGGACTTCAACTCCCAGAATTCTCCAGCCAGCTATGCTGTTTGAAGACCCCTGTTGCAGAAACTTCGTGATCCCAACTTTTGAAGGATTGATTTTCCTCTTTCCATGGGCAAGGCAGGAGTTTTGCTCTTCGGCAACTTCTGCAGCACTTCCCACAGCCTGATTTACAAAGCAGCTGCTGCTAATTTCTTTGGAGCCCCTTCCAGTGAGGGTCCACAGCGATCAGAAGTGTCTTTGGATGCATAACCGGAACTACTAACATTGACGCCTGTATATACCACCTCAGAAGGTCCAGAGCCAATCTGGTTTCTCCACTGAGAACATTACAGTCCTAAGGCTTTGCAGACTTCTCCCCAAAACCTAGGAGCAGCTGAAACATCCAAATTAAGCAAGAACCTTAGCTCTGCCAATTTTGGATCCATTATGATAACTGAGCTGATCATTTATATAAGACACATGTATGGGTAGAGGCATTCACTTTGTCCCCAAGTCCCTACTCACAGTCCAAAAATTAATTGCCCTGATCTACAGAATATAACAACATATGAAGGAGTTAGCACAATGAATTTCCTTCTTAGGAGAATTCATGAAAGTAAACTATGTTGAGGACTTCCGGTTAGAGCTTCTTCAGCGACAGACCAAAGCCTCGTCTCTCCGAGACTTCGATCCGTGCTCACCGCTGGAGCGCCCCGAGCCAGCTGGTTTCAGGGGTACGCCTTGTAGAGGTGGTGAAGAGGGGGGAGACTGCCCGCAGGGTTGAGGAGAGCCACATCTCTCCTCCCCAGCTGGCCATTACTCCCTTTCCTGAAGCCAGTTATAGTGGTGATCAGAAATGGCCACCACAAAGAAGAACTCGACCAGAAAAGAATGTGCAGGAGGAAGATAAGAAGAGAAAGTTTTGGTTGACCGGGTCAGACAGCAAAAGCAACAAATTAGGTACCCTGGAATTTAAACTTAACAACATTGTTCCCAAAGATTTTGAAGCTGTGAAGGAGAGAGAGAAGGGAAAGGATTAGGGTTTTTTTCCTTCCCTTCCTTTTACTGACAGCTAAGACTTAAACAAGAAACTGAAAAAAAAATCCACTTTGACATTAATAGGCTGAAAATAAAAAGTCAAAGGGATAATAAAGATTTCTGGACATTTCAAAGTTTTTAAAAGCTGGAAAGGAGAAAAAAAAAGAATAGAAGGGCAGGATCTGGAAAAATGAAGGAGACTGCCTGGAATTAAGGAATGGAACTGTAATTAAAAGGAACTTACAGTGAAATCTTAACAAGATTCCTGAAAGATACATTTTAATGGAAACTTGGTAACAAAATAACAGAACCCCAGGAAGAGAAAATGGAAAAAAGAAGCAAGTAGAAACAGCCTTGGATTATTTGGATTACTTGGTTTTTGCATCTAGATGACTAAAATTAACTGGGTGGTTGTTTAAAAGTGTTTAAAATGGTATCACTCTTAGAAGAACTGAAAATGGAACTTTAAAAATGGAAAGAAGATGCACAAGAAGGGAGAAGTTCTTTTGGCTTTGTGTTTCAATTCTTAGAAATGGAGAACTGGAACTATGAGAAGCAACAAGAAACGCTTGCAGAACAAGAAGATTGGGACAAAGAAGAAGCCATTTTAATGATCAAATAATTTTAAGTGGGGGGGAAAAAAGAAAAGGGGAAAAAGAGAATGCAAGGTTTAAGATTAGAAAAAACAACCAAAAAGAAGAAGAATTTGAAAGATAAGTATAATATTAGAAAGCAACAGAAGAAAGGATTACAGATGAAAGAGTTAGAAGTAGAGAGAGGAGGAGGTAAAAAGGGGAGGGAGAAGAAGAAAGAAGAGGGGGAAGAAGGCAAGGAAAAGAAGTTGTAAAAGACAGAAACAAGAAATGGAGAAACAGGGAAAAGATATAAGGATTGTAACCATAAGTTTGTTTAGAGATAATGGGTGAAAATTTAATTGTAAAAGGGATTCTGCAAAGGTACATAAGATAGCTTTGTTATATAACAAATAGAAATAACTTTAGAAAATATGATGACGGATAAAATATTTATTGTAATGCAGTGAGATGTTTCTTAATAAATGAATTAAAATGATTGAGAGAATTAAAAGGGAACATTTTTAATTATTAGTAATGATTTATAAAAATATAAGTGAAAAATATGGGGAAAAAAAGAATTAACTATGGAAAGTTTATAAGTGTTCCCAAGGAGGTATGATATTCAATTGAAAATAAATGTTAAAGGTGTTAAAATTTTAATGCATATTAATGATAGAATTGAATTGGAATGGAATGTGTTTTATTTACATATAATTTTCTCTTTTTAAGAATATAGTATCTATTTTAAGAATGTACCAAGCAGAATTTGATTGGAAGTTATGTATTATATTGAATGCTATAATCTTAAAGCTATACATTGAAGCTTAAATAAGAGCTTGGATGGATAAAATTAAAGGATATAAAGGTGTCATACTCTAATTGGTAACTACAGGGAAAAATTTGCTTAATTAAAAAAAATGTGAAATTGTAACAGGACAGATAAAAGTATAAATATAATGATTTGAATTGAGATAATTAAAACAAAGTTGAGAAAATTAGAAGAGGGGGAAAAACTATGTAGAAAATATAAAATGGTAATAAGATATGGAATAGAATATAAAAATGAGCATGAAATTGAATTTTGTGTCTGTATGAAGAAGTGATAACCTGAGACCATGCTATTTTCAAAAAAGATGTTTTATTTGTATTTTGTTTTTGTGAAAACCCAAATAAAATTTTCAAAAAACAAAAAAACAGAAAGTAAACTATGCTAAAGAGGGGGAAATAAAATAAAATAAAAACATTTTTTCTCCTGCCTGGAAGTACAAAGGACCTTCAGCCTGTCCTTATAAAGGACCAGCTCCTCTCATTCCAGATATCCACTCTCCCTTACCTACTTAAAGCAAAACCAGGAATTCCTAATTTCCCTCTCTACAGAATTTTAAGGGGAATCACAAAACAATGTTCAGGATGGCATTTGGGGAGAACTGAAGGTTTTTGCAGTGAGGGCACAGTGGCTCAAGGTCCCTGAGTCGCTACATTTACACTCTTCACTTGACTGTACATTTTTAATGTACTCTTGCTGCGTAACCATTCACGCTTTGCCAAGCTAACAGCCCATACCCTTTATTCATTTAACAAATGCGCTCCCAGCTGACATCAGAACACTGGAAAGGGCAGCGTTTGTTTTCTAAAGAAACAAAACTGCTTTCAGCTGAAACAGACTTTTAATAAGCTTTTCACACAATAGACAGTCATATGAATACAGAAGGCGGCAGGGATGATGAATGGAAAAAATGACACAATGAAAAATTAATACAATGAAGAATCAGTATTCTTCTCCCTCATCTTCCCCATCAGCGCTATCGGCCCCGACCTCTTCGTAATCCTTCTCCAGAGCAGCCATGTCCTCCCGAGCCTCTGAGAATTCCCCTTCTTCCATCCCTTCCCCAACGTACCAGTGGACAAAGGCACGCTTGGCATACATCAGATCAAACTTATGGTCCAGGCGGGCCCAGGCCTCAGCAATGGCTGTGGTGTTGCTCAGCATGCAGACAGCACGCTGCACCTTGGCCAGGTCGCCTCCGGGGACCACGGTCGGGGGCTGGTAGTTGATACCAACCTTGAAACCGGTGGGACACCAGTCCACGAACTGGATGCTGCGTTTGGTCTTGATGGTGGCAATAGCAGCATTGACATCTTTGGGAACAACGTCGCCACGGTACAACAGGCAGCAGGCCATGTATTTACCGTGACGAGGGTCACATTTCACCATCTGATTAGCTGGCTCAAAGCAAGCATTGGTGATCTCGGCTACAGTCAACTGCTCATGGTAGGCTTTTTCAGCAGAGATGACTGGCGCATAGGTCGCCAGAGGGAAATGGATTCTGGGGTAGGGCACCAAGTTGGTCTGGAATTCTGT